CACACACACACACACACACACACACACACACACACACACACACACACACACACACACACACACACACACACTCACATACACGGACTATTTTCATTCAGAACAACTATAATGAAAATAACGCTAAAAGCTTATGAAGGGTAGGCCTGCAGGAACAGAAAAAGCTTAAAATGTATTTTGAAGCTATCAAGTGTTCTTGTTTGTCTTAGTTCCGTCGGTAATGGACCAAGATATGAGAACGATCTCTCTCTCCATACGATTTGTATGATTTTATCGGTGTTACAAGTAGGGTATTATCGTTTCTCCCTGGCTTATATATTACTGATAAATTTTGTTTACAACAGTAAGCATACAAAAATATATAACTATAAATACATGCATACATATATATAGACAATATCACACCAATAAAGAAAAAGTTCATAAACATGCCATTGCTGGTAACCACTGTTCAGCACCCTGTTTTTCTAGCTAGGGATATTTCTTGCTCAAGGTCACACCCCAGTGCAGTGACCATCCATCTAAATATCGTGTCACCGGCACTTGCGTGACATTACTTTTTGAATCTGAACTCATCACTCACTAATTAGCCTCTGTCTTAATTGTATCAATATGTGGCCTGAAATTATATCTAAATCAACCCATCCTTACACCAGTTCCTTCCGAGAGTACCGACATCGGCCTCATCATCGGCATCGTCGTCGCTGTTCTCTTCATCATTGGAATTGCCATCCTCGTGGGTTACTTGATATACGTCTACTGTTACCTTCCCAAGCAAGGAGCGTCAGCCAGGCCTGGAAGCAAGGTTGGTCATGTGGATGGTTGGCGGGTGTTCTTATGTGGTTTGTGCTTTCTTTCCTATCTAACAGGACCCACCTATCGTCCTTATCTCTCTTCTTTGTATACTTACTTACTTGGTTGGAGAATAGGCATTATTGTAGGCGGCGCAATGCCACAGCTGTCCCCCCCCCCCCCCACTTTCTCTCCAGGATCCATGAAAGGGTCTGCTCACTTATCGTGCCAGTTAAGCTTATTTCTTCTTTATATCTAACATCTTTGATCTTTGGTACTTATATAATTATATTTGTGCTGCAAGTGCTGTAAGAATATTATTTGGAAACAAACAAACAAACGAGAACAAAAACAAAACAAAAACGCAGGATGACTTGTCGCTATTTTATTACATTATTATTATGCTCTTTCCTTCCTTTGAGTGGACAAATTAATGGGTTGAAGAATGTCCCTCCTGTCTTTATGTATCTCTTTCTCCTTTCTCTCCCTCTCTCTTTCTTTCTCTCTCTCTCTCTCTCTCTCTCTATCTCTTTCTCTCTCTCTATTTCTCTCTCTCTTTCTACTCTCTCTCTTTCTACTCTCTCTCTCTTTCCATATATTATAATATTAAAGGATTTCCTCCTAAATGGTCTACATTGTGTAGATGCAGGCGTTTAACATTTCTGATCAATCAATCAATCCCATCTTCAAAGCCAGTGCTTCCTGAGTAATCCAAATTGCGTCGATGGAAGCGTAAATGGATATTATAAAAAAGACAAGTTGGTTATTCTTGGACACATCTCAGGTGGCTTTTTAATACATTATAGAACTGAGTAGTACACAGACTTAAGCAGACACGCGATCTCTCTCTCTCTCTCTC